TGCTATTTTGAGTCATCCCTTATCCCTCGTGAAACAAGGATGACGAAATAGCATGCCTGTTATTTGTAAAAATATTTCAAAATAATAGACGGCTTGTGTAGACATGGGGTAGCTATTTCGGGATCTCCAAATAGCTATGCAGTGTAGACTTACCCCAAGTTTTACCCAGGACATTGCCATAGCTATCACTTTGTAGTCATACAGTCCTTCTGTTGACTTCAGTGGAGTAAGTCTGAATGTTTATTACTGCATAGGCATGCTACGTTCTCATGAAGGAAAATTTGTTAACCGAGAGACATCACAGTCCAGAGAGAATGATGGACTTTATATTCATCATGAATATAAGCTTCTTCCTATCACTTTCCTCATGGCAGCTTTGATCTCCTTGTTCCTCATGCTATAGATGATGGGATTCACAAGGGGAGGCACCACACAATAGAGAATGGTCACCATGAGATCGAGACGGGATGTTGAGCTGGAGGTGGGTTTCAGATAGGCAAAGACGAGAGCACAAAAGAACAAGGTGACCACGGTGAGGTGAGGGAGGCAGGTGGAGAAGGCTTTGCGCCGGCCCTGCTCCGAGGGGATTCTCAGCACCGTGGTGAAGATCCGAACGTACGACACGATTATAAAAACAAAACAGCTTAATGTTAAACACACGCTAAATGCAATTGCCCCAACTTCTCTGTAGTATGTGTTGATGCAGGCCAGCTTGAGCAGCTGGGGGATTTCACAGAAGAAATGGGCCACTGCATGACCTCCGCAGAAGTTGGACCCAAACGTGTTGCCCGTGTGTAGTGCAGAGTAGAGAATACTACTGAGCCATGCACCGATCAAAATTTGCGCACAAGCTCTCCTGTGCATTATAGTCTGATAACGAAGGGGTTGGCATATAGCAACGTATCGGTCATAGGCCATGATAGTGAGGATGCTCAGCTCCGCTACTGCGAAGAAGAGGAAGAGAAAGACTTGGGTGATGCAACCAGAATAAGAAATCGATCTGGTGTTGGTTAGTGAATTGACCATGGATTTAGGAATGGGGACGGAGATGTAGCAGAGGTCGATGAAGGCTAAATGGAGCAGGAAGAAGTACATGGGGGTATGAAGCTGGCGGTCGAGGGTGATAACTGTGATGATGAAGAGATTCGCCACTAGTGCTGCAAGGTACAGCAGGAGAAACACCACAAAGTGCAAAATCTGCAGCTGCCAAACGTCCGAGAATCCCAGGAGCAGGAAGTCAGCCATGGATGTTTGGTTGCTCATCTTCCTTCTCAGCTCGCTGTGTCCGGTCTAGAGAGGGAAGGGCAAGAATTAGAGGCACCGATAGAATGACTCCGATTCCCACTTTAATAATCTCATAAGGTGAATGCCAAAGGAGCACAACTCCGTGATGGTGTCTCTGGGGTGCAACCTGGATTGTGGTGAACATGGGCGTTGTCAGGTGCTATTTTAAGGTGCAATGTGTCACAACCACTAGCCACTTCTGTTGATTGGGAGTCATGAGGGCTCCACATATCGGCCAGTCAGAACACTACTCGGGTTTGTTATAACTCTGGTGCAAATTAAACCAGTGGCCTTAAAGCTCATGTGTATTACCACTGTTTTCACTAATTTATACTGCCATGCAAAGTAGTCTGTCACTTGATTATTTTCGTGCTATTTCGGGGATGGCTGTGTTATTCGAAAAAAGTTCCCTAAAAAAAAATCATGCTATTGTGAAAATGTGTTAAGTGGGCACGTGTTAAATGAGTTATAACTGTACTTAGATTGCTTTAAAATTTGGTAAGGCTATGTCTAGACTGCACTGCTTTTCTGGGATACTGAAGGTTTCCTGTCCAAGGAACGCGTCCGCTTTTTTGGAAAATGTTTCAAAAAGTGGACATGCTTTTTCACCATCCCTATAAATCTTATTTTACAAGGAAGAAGGGGTGTGTCAAAAGAGCACTTTTTCCCCAAATTTGGTGCCATGTAGATGCGCCAAATTTCAGAAAAGCCTCTTTCGACAGTAAAGCGCATTTCTTTTTCCGACTTACCCTTGCAGTGTAGACCTAGCCTACGTGTTAAGAAGGTGTGGCGTATATCTAATTATACAGATTTGGAGCTGAAGCATTACTGTCTGGGGGAAGAAAATATCAGAGTATTTCAGGTATGCCCTGTTCCAGAAAGTTTTTCCACCACAACTAGAATGATGGACAATGAATTTATTTAGATAAAAAGAACAACAACATGTCATTCCAAGGCTCTAGATGCTTTAACATATCATTAATAACACAGGAGTTTTAAATTAGTCTTTTAGGCCATGTCTACACTAGAGATTATTTCAAAATTACTAAATTTGACTTGTTAAATCAGGAGTTAACGTGTTCACGCTACGGGGAACCCTCTAAATTAGTCGGAGGCAGGCTCCACTAATGCACTATCTTGGACTAAAAGCCCCAGGAAGCACTGGGGAGTAATTAGTTCAAATGACTCTGGGAAGTTATTTTGAAATAGCAGTCCCGGAGCGTCCACATGGCCGCCATTTCGAAATAACTATTTCAGAATGAGTGTTACTCCTGATGAAAAGGAGTGCAGATTTCAAAATAAGTGGCCCGTTATTTTGATATTTGGTTGTGTGGATGCTCTGTTTATAAATTCGACCTAAGGGGAGTTATTCTGAAATAAAGTCCTAGTGTAGACTAAGGATGTCAAGGACTAGTCGACTAGTCAATTAATAGCAATTTAACATCTTTAGTGTAGACCAGGCCTTCATGAGAATTCAGCTAGAGCTACTGACATGTTTCCCCGTTTCTTCATCATTATCAGAGCTAACCTTCAGCTCTCTGGAAACTGCACCGAACAGATGACAATATTGACAGATACAATAATTAACAGCAAAAATCTCACATCCCCGTCTAACCAAATAGTCCCCACTCTCCATACTTCCAAGACCAAATCCCTCAGCCTCTCCTCATAAGTCATGTGCTCCAGCCCCCTCATCAGCGTTTGGATCAGTTCCTCATATCTGTCACCTAACAAGAATGCCCCATGTTTCAGAATCCCCCTCATGTCCTGACCCGTGAAGACCGATGGAAAGAATTCATTTAATTTCTCTGCTATGACCTTATTGTCCTTGAATGCTCATTTAGCATCTCCATCCTCTAGCTGACCCATTGGTTGTTTAGCAGGCTTCCTGTTTCTGTTGTGCTTAATTTTTTTCCTATTACTTTTTGAGTCTTTGCCTCAATGTTTTTCAGAGTCATTTTTGGTCTTCCTAATTATATTTGTACGCTATATTTGCCAGAGTTCCTACGTCTTTATATTTTCCTCATTAGGACTTAACTTCCATTTTTTTTAAACGATGCCTTTTTGTCTTTCACTGCTTCATTTGCTCTGCTGTTTTATCACAGTGGCACTTTTTTGGTTCTCTCATAATGTTTTTTTTTTTTTTTAATTTGGGATATGCCCAAATTGGGGTAATATGCAACTGAGCCTTGTTACGGTGTCTTTAGAATGTTTCATCAGTCTTAGAACCATAGAACATTATGGTTAGAACAGATCACAGAAATTTTCCCGGGAACTTGACGGGACTTTTCTTCTGTCACTATACCTTTTAATTTCTGTCTAAATAACTTCCTTCTTTTTGTGCTTTTCTGAAATTAAATGAAAGAATCCAGGAATAGGGAATCAGTCAGGCACTTGGGTCCTTTCACCATGAAGAAACTTCAAACAGCAGTCAAGCCTATGAACACCATTAGCATACTCCTGCCCCTTAAAGGTTTTCTCATAAACCAACTTAATTTTAAACATTGACACAGCAGGGCAAAAGTTGAATTAAGCTATAGAACTTCAACTACGTCAGCTGCGTAGCTAAAGTAGAAATAGCTTCATTCCGTTTTTGGTGCTGTCTACACACAGGAAGTTGAAGGAATCATAGAATCATAGAACCAAAGAGCTGGAAGAAACCTCAGAAGGTCGTCAAGTCCAGTCCCCTGTTCTAGGCAGGACCAATCCCAACTAAATCAACCCGGCCAGGGCTTTGTCAAGCCAAGACTTAAGCACTTCTAGTAATGGAGACTCCACTACTTCCCTAGGTAACCCATTCCAGTACTTCACTACCCTCCTAGTGAAATAGGTTTTCCTAATATCCAACCTGGACCTCTCCCACCACAACTTGAGACCATTGCTCCTTGTTCTTCCATCTGCCACTAGGAAGAGAGTTTTTGCTTTGACTTCCCTTACTCATGAAATGAGGGTTACAGGAGTCGGAGTAAGAAGTCCAGTTGAACATTATTTCAAAATAATGGCTCTGTGTAAATGCATTTTTTGTTATTTCAGAAACATTAGTTATTCTGAAATAATGCTGTTGTGTAGACATACCATTATATTAGTTCAAAATTCATTTGATGTTCCTTACATTTTCCAAGAGTTATATTTACTCACATCTACTGATGTCACATACAATTTCACAATAATACACAGACAATTGCAATGTTAATACAAGATATTAAACTTAATTCAACCAGATTTAACTCTATTTTGTAAGGGCTCATCTACACAGCACCCTAAACTCAAAATAAGATCTGCAATTTGCATAATGCAAATTGCGTATCTTATTTCGAAACTATTTCAAAATAGCTTATTTTGAAATTTGGCGCATCTACACAGTGCCAAATTTCGAAATAATGTGCTATTTTGAGTCATCCCTTATCCCTCGTGAAACAAGGATGACGAAATAGCATGCCTGTTATTTGTAAAAATATTTCAAAATAATAGACGGCTTGTGTAGACATGGGGTAGCTATTTCGGGATCTCCAAATAGCTATGCAGTGTAGACTTACCCCAAGTTTTACCCAGGACATTGCCATAGCTATCACTTTGTAGTCATACAGTCCTTCTGTTGACTTCAGTGGAGTAAGTCTGAATGTTTATTACTGCATAGGCATGCTACGTTCTCATGAAGGAAAATTTGTTAACCGAGAGACATCACAGTCCAGAGAGAATGATGGACTTTATATTCATCATGAATATAAGCTTCTTCCTATCACTTTCCTCATGGCAGCTTTGATCTCCTTGTTCCTCATGCTATAGATGATGGGATTCACAAGGGGAGGCACCACACAATAGAGAATGGTCACCATGAGATCGAGACGGGATGTTGAGCTGGAGGTGGGTTTCAGATAGGCAAAGACGAGAGCACAAAAGAACAAGGTGACCACGGTGAGGTGAGGGAGGCAGGTGGAGAAGGCTTTGCGCCGGCCCTGCTCCGAGGGGATTCTCAGCACCGTGGTGAAGATCCGAACGTACGACACGATTATAAAAACAAAACAGCTTAATGTTAAACACACGCTAAATGCAATTGCCCCAACTTCTCTGTAGTATGTGTTGATGCAGGCCAGCTTGAGCAGCTGGGGGATTTCACAGAAGAAATGGGCCACTGCATGACCTCCGCAGAAGTTGGACCCAAACGTGTTGCCCGTGTGTAGTGCAGAGTAGAGAATACTACTGAGCCATGCACCGATCAAAATTTGCGCACAAGCTCTCCTGTGCATTATAGTCTGATAACGAAGGGGTTGGCATATAGCAACGTATCGGTCATAGGCCATGATAGTGAGGATGCTCAGCTCCGCTACTGCGAAGAAGAGGAAGAGAAAGACTTGGGTGATGCAACCAGAATAAGAAATCGATCTGGTGTTGGTTAGTGAATTGACCATGGATTTAGGAATGGGGACGGAGATGTAGCAGAGGTCGATGAAGGCTAAATGGAGCAGGAAGAAGTACATGGGGGTATGAAGCTGGCGGTCGAGGGTGATAACTGTGATGATGAAGAGATTCGCCACTAGTGCTGCAAGGTACAGCAGGAGAAACACCACAAAGTGCAAAATCTGCAGCTGCCAAACGTCCGAGAATCCCAGGAGCAGGAAGTCAGCCATGGATGTTTGGTTGCTCATCTTCCTTCTCAGCTCGCTGTGTCCGGTCTAGAGAGGGAAGGGCAAGAATTAGAGGCACCGATAGAATGACTCCGATTCCCACTTTAATAATCTCATAAGGTGAATGCCAAAGGAGCACAACTCCGTGATGGTGTCTCTGGGGTGCAACCTGGATTGTGGTGAACATGGGCGTTGTCAGGTGCTATTTTAAGGTGCAATGTGTCACAACCACTAGCCACTTCTGTTGATTGGGAGTCATGAGGGCTCCACATATCGGCCAGTCAGAACACTACTCGGGTTTGTTATAACTCTGGTGCAAATTAAACCAGTGGCCTTAAACTCTATGGGTGTGTCTACACTGCAAAGTTAATTCGAAATAACAGCCCTTATTTCAAATTAACTTTTATAGCATCTACACAGGCAAACTGCTATTTTGAAATAAAGTTGAAATAGCGGAGCCCTTATTTTGAATTTGGTAAACCTCTTTGAAGCCGCTGGCAGCCAGCCCTCCACCGCTCCCCAGGAGCAGTCTGCCAGCTCCCAGGAGCCTGACGGGCTGGAGAAGGCGGGCGCCTTCCTGGTCCAGGGTGGAGATCATGGACCTTATTCAGGTTTGGGGGGATGCCCCCAACATCCATGATCTCCGCCCTGCAATGAGGAGTAACGGTAGTTCGAATTAAGAGCTTTAATTCAAACAGCCTAACCCGTGCTGCGTGGTGCCGTGGGCTGGGAGTTCGAACTACCGGCATTTAAAAATGGCAGTGCCTGGGAACATGCAAATAAAGCCCAGGATCTTTTAATCCCAGGCTTTATTTGCAAGTTCGAATGACTACATTGGCCACCTAGTTCGAACTAGGATGGCTAGTGTAGACATACCCTAAGTCCTAACCTGATGCCCTGCCGGCATTGGTTCCAGCCAGCCTTAACTTCGGTTCAGGGTCTACTCAGTGTGGACGTGCTATTTCAAAACAGCAAAATGCTATTTCGAAATAGTTTTTGTGTATAGATGCATTATTTCAAATTAGCTTAATTCAAATTAACTATTTTGAATTAAGTTATTAGAAATAGTGCTGTAGTGTAGACATACCCTACGGCAAGGGTGGTCAACCCATGGCTCGCAAGCTGCATGCGGCTCTTCCTCCCCAAAAATTGAGGCTTGCGAAGTCATCTTTGTAGGTGGCCCCTGGCTCCCTGTGCTGGGGAGCCGTCCAATGCGGCCATTCAAAATGGCATCTTCAAGATGGTGGCAGCCAGTTCTTCTCACTGTATCCACTGCTATTCTTGCTCTTTGTCCAGAACATGTTGGCCACTCCTGCTCTATGGGGTGAGCCTCTGGTCCAAGATATGGCTTGGTAAAATTCAGTAATCAAGCTGTAATAAAGGACAAGTCAAAATGAACTGTCCTAGCAGGAAAAGAGGAGACTAAGGGGGGATAAGATAGAGGTCTATAAATCATGACTGCTGTGGAAAAAGTGAATAAGGAAAAGTTATTTACTTGTTCCCATAAGAACTAGGGGCCACCAAATGAAATTAACGGGCAGCAGGTTTAAAATAAATAAAAGGAAGTTCTTCTTCTCACAGCGCATAGTCAATCTGTGGAACTCCTTGCCAGAGGAGGCTGTAAAGGCTAGTAGTATAACAGGGTTTAAAAGAGAGCTAGATAGATTCATGGAGGTTAAGTCCATCAATGGCTTTTAGCCAGGATGGGTAAGGAATGGTGTCTGTAGCCTCTGTTTGTCAGAGGGTGGAGATGGATGGCAGGAGAGAGATCGCTTGATCATGAATTGTTGACTTCACTCCCTCTGGGACACCTGGGGTTGGTCACTGTCGGCAGACAGGGTACGGGGCTGGATGGATCTTTAGTCTGACCCAGTCTGGCCGTTCTAATGTTCTTAGGTTCTTATTTCCCTCTCTTGCAACAAACAGTTGGCTTAGGGTGAGCAGAAGTCTGGATTTCATAGGGACATGTCCAATACCCCAAATCCCAGTTGAATGTCCATCTCTGGGCAAGGAGCATCTGCCCTAGCGGTTACTGCTGTGTGGTATCATTCACCTGTTTCTGTGAGTCGGTGCTCTGTGGGTCACTGACCATCAGGGACTTGGGTTCTGTTCTGGTCCAAAGCAGGGCCAACCCCGTCAATCATCCCAGCCAGGGCTTGGTCAAGCCAGGACTGAAACACCTCTAGGGATGGAGATTCCACCCCCTCCCTAGAGAACCCAGCCCAGTGCTTCCCACCTGCCCAGGGAACTAGTTTTTCCTAATATCCAACCTAGACCTCCCCCACTGCAACTTGAGCCCGTTGCTCCTCGTTCTGCTGTCTTAGTGTATGTTCCCATTGTTTACTCGTGGCAGTACGGAGCAGAATGCTGAAGGAGGATGTCTGGTTTCTAGCCCCATTGAAATCATCTACATCCTTGGTGGGGGTCACCATAACCCAACGGTTTGGCTCGGGGACATCGATTCCCTGCATCCGTTTGAAAGGGCTGGGATGTTGGAAACATTCTGAGGGTTACCCCCATTGCTGCTGACTCCATTTTACCACTCGGAAACAATCTCTTTGAAGCAGAAATAAACATGGCTGCCGTGGCATGACGGTGTGAAATTAGGGCAACACTAGAAGATTTACCCGGCATTGCTCTAGTCCTTAACATAATGAATTTGGGGGTGGGGGGTGGGAAAATAAAATGAAAATGTCTCATGTAAATCATGGGTCCGAGCTAGGGGTGGGGAGGAGGGGTTCAGGATGCAGGTTGCCCCATGGAGAGAGGACCGCCCCAGCCTGTCTTCCCACAGCAGCTTGGGATCAGGTGAGAAGTGCTTCTTCATGGTCACTGCAGCTCCACCGGGCACAGCTGGGGGAGGGGTGCATGTCCCCCAGCTGGGGCAGGTCCCGGTTCATCTGCCCCCTGCTCTCCCCAGCCAGAGTGAGGAATGCAGCAAACTGGGCACTTCCCTCTGGCTCCCTGATGAAAGGGAACAGACAGTAACTTTCTTGTACGAACGGGGGTGCAGGGGCACTTCAGTCCCCCCTCCTTAAAGGGCACCTGGAGTTGGGAGTCTTGGGCAGTGCTGTGGGAGTGGGGGGCTTGGAGTTGCACCCCCAGCCAGCCCCTTTCACCTGCCTGGTGTATCTGTCTCTCTTCTGCATGGTTTTAAGAGGAGCAATCCCATTCCAGGCACATCCTGTTGTCCTGGCACAACTAACCCCTGACCTCGCTTTAAGTTACGGTAAGAAGAAGCTGCCTATCGAATTTGGTGGCCCTAGCTCTTACCGTTTAAGCGTTCTTGAACGGACGGACTAACAGACGGATGGACACTAAACCATACAAACTCTCTCAAATATATAGCAGATTGAACGGTATTGATCATCTGCCCCCTCGCTTACAGCTACATTCCCAGCAAAATTTCCGTTACATGAAAAAAGAATACATTTTCTTGGCCCACTGTTTTCTTTGGAAAGCTGGAATCATTTGGCTGGTAGAGCAGCTGAAAATAATTCACCTTCAGCACAAGCATAACGGAAACAATTCAGTGCTCATTGGCTAAAACCCAAAATTCTTTTAGTTTCCACAGTCTCTATGAAAAGTCCCTTTTCTCGCCGCCTTGAAAGCCCTTTATCGACTTCCCCGTTATGCGTCGTAGGATGAGGTTTACCGGGGAGGTCAATAAAGGGCTTTCATGTCGGCACGGGAGCATCCAGACAAGCACGCTGAGCCAACAAACAGCTGATTAACTGTTTGTTGGCTCAGTGTGCTAGTCTGGACGCTCCCACGCCAACCTGAAAGCCCTTTATCGACCTCCCCATTATGCCTCATAGGGTGAGGTTTACCGGGGAGGTCGATAAAGGGCTTTCAGGTTGGCGCGGGAGCGTCCAGACCAGCACACTGAACTGATCAGCCGTTTGTCAGCTCACTGCAGCAGCCATTTAAATTTAAATGAAGCCGCGATTATTTAAATCGTGGCTTCATTTCCCTTTGTGGGAAAAAAACAAATCTACATGGCTCCGTCAATGGAGCCATGTAGTTTAGACATACCCTTAGTCTCACACTTTGAGGATGTTCCACTAACTTGATAATGAACATCTCCAAGTGTCCCAAAAGTAACTTCTATGCGTATTCCAAAATCTATCCCATATATTAATATGCAGAAAAACAACTGAAATATCAAACTTACAGGTTGGTCTTTGCAGCAATGTTACCATGTGTTTAGCACCCTGCTATCGGGATTCTTTGATCATTCAATTCTCTCTTTCTCTCTCAGTTCCCCATCACTGTATTATCTGGCAGCTGTTTCCATGTTGACTTGCTGGATTCTCTGAGTTGCTGGGTCTCCTTGTAGTTCCTAGCAGGCGGGGATCCACAAACGGATGCGCCTTGCTCCCTTCCTTGTGCAGAGCGCTGAGGTCAAAATGAGATCAGGGACTGAACATACCTCTCAGTTCTGGGGCTAAATAGCTCGATCTAATCTCAGGAGCTGTGATCCCAGATCTGATCGTACTTCAGAAGCAAGTTACCCTGATAACCTGTCTTAGCTGAGTCTAATCCCCACACTGGAGTAATAGCCTCTTCCCTGAATCTTACATCCCTGGAAAGATCCTAGGCTAAAAACAAGGCAGGGCAGAGTTCTGCTCTTAACCTGGCTTAATTAGCTCTGGGCAAGAAGAAATCCCCACCCCTGTTCCTGTTTTGCATCAGTAGCTCTTGGGATGCAACAGGATGCATGAAGTAGGCTGCTACGGCCTTGTCTACACAAAAAGGAAAATCAACGCTACCTTAATCGAACTGCTGTAGTTTGATTTAGAAGGCCTAGTTAAGGCTCACTAAATCAAACTCAGAGGGTGCCCCAACCAGCCTCTGGTACTCCTGCTTTTGAGAGGAGGAAGGGAATCTTTGCTGTCTTTGGCCTCCCGCTGTGGGGATGCCACCAAGCTTGGCTTAAGGGAAGCCGCCCGCAGCTACGTATCCTATATTGCTGGAGTTACGGACCTTAACTGGGTACTTACCTTACTGGGTCCTGCCAT